TCTCAATCTTCTGGCGGTGGCGGAGTTGCTTAGCCTGTGGGTCACGGACCTCTTTGTATCTTGGTGGTATATCTGAGGCCTCACAGCCGGCAGCGTCTTTCTCAACAGTGTTATAGGCTGCAGATCCTCGCACCGACTTGGATTCCTCCTTCTGCTTACCCTTATCCTTGGCCTTGAGATCTAGAGTGACCTCTGCGAATGCAGCCTTCCAGCGCTCAGCTTCCTCCGCCCAGGATTGTGCCATTTTCTCTGCCTCTGCCTTCTGCTCCAATGTATCTCGAAGGTAGTTGCTGATGTTGTTGGCGCGATCAGCCAGGGCGGTACACATAGTCTTAAGGGTATGTTCGTGACGTTCTTGATCAGTCTCCTTCTTGACTTCAGCAGCGCGGCGTTTGTTTCTCTTGTTGTAATCCTTGTCCAACAATTCAAAAGTGACTTTCTGATACCATGGAACATCAATCTTCGTAGTGAGGTCCTCCTCTTCCCCGGGTGCGCGGGTGGCGTACACCGAGGTTGTGAAGTCTTCCTTCGGCCACTCTCCTGGCATCTTCTGCTTTCCTTTATTAGCGAGACAATTAGCCAATGACTGTCCAGATAATCGTGAGCGAAACGCTGTCCACAGATTACTGAGTCTGAAATTAGTATTTTACCTCTCTACAGAGGTCGCGTTGAGTAGTTTAGGGAGCTTAGTATTATGTCACGGCGTAGAATAGGCACAAGTGAAAGTACAGCTTGTATGGCGATAATTCAATCTGTGAAGCAAATACTAAGCTGGAGAAGAATAGAAAAGAACAGGATCTCATTACAAAAAGCCCTGAGGCTATTCCTATTCGGGCGGGTTTCCACTAAATCGCCGCGTCCGTGCTCCTTCCTGCATCAGCCATCAGTCTCACATCCTCCCTCCACGTAATTGTATATCATGGCGGAGCAGAATGCCGTGCCGTGACAAGCGGATGCATATTTAAGTATAGTCAGCTCTAGTTATGCAGTCATGTAATATATAAGGACTGGGAGTTATGCAGGCATCCAAGGTGATCCGTGCATACATACACATAAGAAGGGCAGTCTTTCTGGTTGAACCTAGGTAGAATAGAATAGAATAGAATTAAATTTAAGTCCCTACTGAGTCTATGACTATGAAGGACTGCTAAAAGTAGACATTAAACTACCAAAATTCACTTGTTTTTATAAATACTGTTTTTTCAATCTTTTCCAATAGACAATGAGGGCTTAACCCGAACCTAGGTAGAGAACCTTAGTGATTAAGTTGTAATACAAGATTGAGCCAATAACGTTTACATGGTAGCATTATTCAGGAGACGATTCATTTACGTTATACGTATAATATTTCTGGCACGCTTCTTACTTAGCATTACAGTTTATTTATCATATAGAGTCACTTCGGAAAATTCACAGTTGGCCTACTACTCATAAGTTGTCTCTCCGATTCTAGTACTCTGACGTAATGAGAGTGTATATACCAGGATTTCTTCATCGGCATTTGGATTATCAAAGGCTGACCGCGAAGTCATAGCTCAGGCCGGAGGTGCAGAGAAGCCTGGAAATGTTGAAAGCCCATTCGGCCCAACAAAGGAAAATGCTGATCTTGCAGAGGAAAGAGGACGCAGTGAAAGTATGAGACCGCCTCCGAAGCCGAATACTTTGTTTCCAGAATACGAAAACGATGCCAGGTTACCACCCCCAAAGAGTGAATTCAAGGGGAAAGGTATGAAGTCCACCGAGAGGACTGATGTTGAAATCCTTGAACTAATCAACAAGCCATCTACACGAGGAGGTAGTGATTGTCCTGGTGCAGGATACGGAAAGCCTGCAGTTTCTGATTCTCGAGGGTTTGGGAGAAAAACCACACTTGACTGGAAGTCACTTGAGTGGAAACCGCATCATTCTATGTTCCTAAAAGGCATCTCAAATTGGAGTTTCTATAATTCTGCCATAACTCTACAACTCGAAAGTATAGGTTATGAGGTGGGGACTGAACTAACAAGGCTGGACGAGTTAAAAATTGCAGCACTCATCCAGCGAACGTCCGATGCAGAAGTTTCAGTTATTGTTGATGGCATGAAGATCGGAACAGCTATTATTGATCTTTACGATTCTATCTACCGTCAATCAGGTGAGATACAAGAAGACGCATTGTATAGCGATCTGTCAGAATTACGTTATGAATGCGGTTGTCCGATTTTATTCGTCTCTAAATTCAAGTCTGTAGTCAGAGACTACCAGTTTTCTGGCGGTCAACTAGGACCGAGACAATTCATGTCAACGTTCAAAAATGCTGTGAAGAGTAAAGCTAGAAGGTGGCACGAGTTAATATCAACTGTGGCCTGTTTCCAATCTTGGACCGCTGATAAATTAATACAGGATTTCATCTCACATCACCATCATCTTGTTGGCCAGATTTTTGATCCGAAGAATTTCAGTGGCGTTAATAAAAAGCTTGGTTCCGTTCATAATGCGCAAAACTAAATAAACAAGCTCTGCCGGCAAACATCTAAGAATTTTAAAGGCATGGGAGCTGATGGGAAATTACGATGCTGGAGCTGTAAAAAGGAAGGTCATTTTTCAAGGGTATGTTCTGCAAGAGTTAGGGAGACTATTCTCAACACCTGTCAGTGGTGTCCCTTACAAACCTCCAACTCTCCCCGTAGAGTCTGCAGAGCCGAGACTGAGTAGAGAAGTCCTCACTTCGACGAGAATTCCCAATCGTTTTCGCGGTCTGTATCGTCTTTATCCCTAAGCACATCCCCCTATCACCATTACCATGAAGCTAACCACGATCAGATCAGATGATAGGATCGAAGCCCTACTCGTCACCAACCCTTGATCATGGAGGAAAAGCCATCCGATGAGTTTCCGGAGCGTACCCAGCATCCGATACGGAGATGGCGGATTGGATCAAGCCGGCCTCGACTGTTACAAAGAAGGGAGATGTAGATGAATATGCACACTTCATGTGGTCCTGGTATCTAGGCCTTGCCTGGCTGGGGCTACAGGTCTTTTTGAGACCTTTTCCCGCGCACGCAGTTTCCATTGCTACCATTTTTATTTTTTTGGGTAGAAGGTTCCGTGGAAAAGGTGGCTGAATTCCACGGGTAAATACTGAGCTTAATGGCTATTCATCAAGGGGAATATATCAATGATCTTTCAAGTAACAAAAGAGGATAGGAGCACTGTACAAGGTGTGGCCTGGGTCAGAGAGGAGCCTAATATGCTAGATAGTCATAGACTCAAGTAGCACAATAAACACAAACACACATTCTGTAAGAGTTAATGAACTAAAGTCGAGGAAAGACTTTTCGGAAAGAGCATCAAAAGGGCTAGTGACACCAGCTGTTCCTGCGGCAGGGTATTCCAAATTTTCAGGGGAAGAAATTGAGTCCAATATACATCCCACTCAAGTTAGTCGACAGGAATTCGACGAGATGGCAAAATTTTACGATAGAAAAATGGCAAGACTTCGGGATGAAAATGTTGAGACTTTTGAAGAAATTAACACCGAGAATACAGATGATGGTATTCACATTTCACAGCAAGCCCTCAGCGAAACCATTGGACTCAATCTAAAACCAGGAACGATTGTTATATCAGGACCCAGCGAGTTTCCAATGAAGATATGGAATAGAGTAGTATGTAATAAACACATGGATGAAGCTTCGAATGACGACGTGGAAACCCCGAATCCACTGAATATCGAAAATTGCAACCAGTTGCGCAAATCCCAGATTTATCCTCAGCTTCCTAGAGGGCGTGGACGCTCAAAGCGTGTAATACAAAGAACATATGAAGAACAACAGATGTTGCCATCGGACGAGCCACTAGAGGTTAACCACAACTTATCTATGGCATTGAACAAAGAGGGCGAGAAAAATAACGCTGAGGCTCTCCCTCAAGAAGCCCGCAATAGGCATCTCAAAATACGACAAAAAGCTTTAAAATATAACCTTGTGGACAGGTTTACAAAGACATTGGGTGCCGCATTGTTTCAGTATTTCCTCAAGCATATAGGACACTGCAATCGACACAAATGACTTCATAATAGGGCTGAGAGGGCGTGTGAGCGGATGCATATTTAAGTATAGTCAGCTCTAATTATGCAGTCATGTAATATATAAGGACTGGGAGTTATGCAGGCATCCAAGGTGATCCGTGCATACATACACATAAGAAGGGCGGTCTTTCTGGTTGAACCTAGGTAGAGAACCTTAGTGGTTTAGTTGTAATACAAGATTGAGCCAATAACGTTTACACAAAGTAATTAAATATGTTTGCACATATTATCACGTGATAATGATCTCCATAAAGCGTTGTAAACATATCACGTATATTGGCATGAAACAGCGACGGGAAATTCGCATCGTTATAAAAAGAGTCCGCACTGTACCCATCATCAAAATCAATTTGTCTTAATATCACAGATCAGTAATATTAACTTATCCGTGTCAGTTTGACTCCTAATTACCGACAGAAAAATAAGATTTTTGACTCGCACGACCGTTCCTGATATCTTTGATGTATATATAGAACGACCGTCAGACTTCTGTGCTGCATGAGACAATCTTTTTTTTCACATTTGCGACTCTGATGAAAGTCTACTTCCTGTCAATCGTAGCCCACGGCTTTTGTACGTGACTTAGCATCCAGTACTATTACCGACTATCAGACGTTTATTATATGTTTGAGATATTAGAAGCGAACGAATACGTATGCGCACAGCCACTCGGCTGGTTATTACAACAAGACCTTGGTTACATCTTCACAAACAAACCGCCGAATTTCCCCTCCAGAATCGTCTGAACATCGATCTAGCCTTCTTCAAAATACTAGCTATAACTACAATATAAATTTCACTCCTTCTGGCCCTAACGACCTTTGGACGAATCCCCCACCGAGACCCACTACAAGAAACACGACGCTCTCCATCAATATATCAATTTAACTTTCAGAGTTTATGGTAAATAATTTAAGGCACTTCGTAAAATATGGGCTTCGTAGGTGTATACAAGGCGTTATATGATTATGCGCCTCAGAGTGAAGGAGAGCTGCCTATTTCTGATGGAGACATACTTTATATTTTAGAAAAGAGCGAAGAGGACGACTGGTGGAAAGCAAAAAAAAAGGCTTCCGGCGAAGATGAAGATGAACCAGTTGGGCTAATCCCGAACAATTATATTGAGAAGGTGAGTTCTTTTTTGCAGTGTCTTGTGTACCCTTAATATTGGGCATACTACTCGTGAGTATTAAATTTTGCATTGAATATGTCCCAAATTTTATCGCTATACTTTCTCAGAATACTGTTGTTGCAAATTTAGCAAGTAAAATAGATAACTGACATATCCCTACTAGGCCATACCTGTTACAAATGCGAGAGCCCTATTTGATTACACAAGACAGACGGATGAAGAGATTTCATTTTTAGAGGATTCAATCCTAGATGTTTATGATATCTCAGATCATGACTGGATCTTAGTTGGACTGGAAGAAGAGTTTGGTTTCGCTCCAGCAAACTATATTGAAATTGAAGGAATAGAAGATATAACTCTACAAAGATCAACAATTGATTCAACTAACAAATCTTGGCAACCGGAAGATAAAATCCGCAATGTAAAATCGCCTGCAACTGGAAGAAGCTCAAAAACTGCTGTAGCTGGTAGTATAAATGACCAGAAAATAATCACTAAAACTGTTCAAACTCAGCACACACCGGAAGTATCTGAAGATGATGAACCTCTTACTCCATCTCTTCCGAATAGATCCCCATCCTCATCCACACCTGCTTCTAATAATGTACAAGGTATTTCAAGATCACCATCCCTGATCAGAGATTCAGAGATTCCTTCGCCAAATAATCAAACCTGTCAAAAAAATACCAACGGTGAGCCGCCATACTATGCTCCTGGTGGGTTTCACATGTATAATATCAATGAAATGATATCTGTGATGGGCAAACGGAAAAAAATGCCTACGACTTTGGGAATTAATAGTGCAATTGGTGTGATTCTAATTGTACCGGAAAAATCACGAGATGGTCCAGAGCAGAGATGGACAGCTGAAAAAATGACTCACTACTCTATCGAGGGCAAGCACGTATTTCTTGAATTAGTTAGACCAAGTAAAAGTATTGATTTTCACGCAGGTGCAAAAGATACTGCTCAAGAGATAGTTGCTGCTCTAGGTGATCTGGCAGGTGCAGTTAGAGCCGAGGGTTTGAGAGAGGTAATAATGGCTGGTGCTGGTCAAACTCAAAAGAAAGGACATGTATTGTATGACTTTTTAGCTCAAGGTACCGACGAGGTTACTGTTGCTACCGGAGACGAAGTCATTATTATAGACGACTCGAAAAGCGAAGAATGGTGGCAAATACGGCGTCTTAAAACAGGAAATGAAGGTGTTGTTCCAAGCAGCTATATCGAGATTACCGGAGTCGTCACACAACCAAACACGCCAACTGTGAATGTAGCCCGATCTACTGTTGAACAAAATCGACTTGAAGAAGAACGGCTTGCGAAAGATTCAATAAGAGCGGTTAAGGAATTAAGGAGTACAGAGGTAGGACCTGGTGTGCGATTGCCCGAAAGGGGTAGTAGTTTATCTGCAAAAGAAAGTAGTAACAGTCATGGCATGCAGAGACAAAAATATGAACGTAACGATACTACTCAGACAAGAGGATCAAAATCTAGTATGTATTTCACGAATAATTCTCGCTCATTCGCTAAGAATTGACAGGACCCGACCCGGATAGAGTGCGGACCTGGAACGACAGATCCAGATCTTTCAGTGTCGAAGCTCAATTCTTGGCATTGAAAGATGGCAAAATAAATCTTCACAAGATGAATGGTGTCAAGATCGCTGTACCTGTATCCAAAATGTCAATAGAAGATCTAGAATACGTCGAGCGCCAAACAGGACTATCTCTAGACGACGAAAAACCGCTTTCTGGCCTTAAGAAGTCTCGATCACGCGCAGCTTTAGGTACCAGAGATCCAATAGCTGTAACGGCCAATAGAGATAACTCAGCAAAAAGATTACAGTATGACTGGTTTCAATTCTTTTTAGCCTGCGAAGTCCCTGTTCAACTATGCGAAAGATACTCACAAGCATTTCAGCGTGATTCAATGGATGAAAGTGTCTTACCTGATATTGATGCCACTGTCTTACGTACTCTTGGAATACGGGAGGGTGATATCATAAAAATAATGAGATTTCTAGATAAAAAATATTCACGTTCTGCAAAGCGTGGTGTAAGTTTCGGTAGTGAGGAAGTTCAAATTCCTGACGGCGAGCTGCACGGGGGACTCTTTTCAGGACCGGGAGGCACATTAAAAAATAATACTCGGAAGGGGAGACCAATACCTGCAACACAGACTAACAATAAAGTTGATCCTGGTGCATTTTCTCAAGATGCAAAAATAGAGTTGATAACGGAAGATGATGCTGCAAAATCTAGTTCTGCAACTGTTCTCACTAAAAATAGCGGGTTTGAAGATGATGCTTGGAATATAAAACCACCGACAGCTCAAAAGCCAATATCTAGCTCATCCTCAAGTCTTCAGGCACAATCTGTTCCGACGATGTCAAAAATCACAGATTCCGTGAGTAATTTATCGCTACTCTCCGCTCCTTTGGAACCAATAAAGCTTTCGTCCAGCCAACTACAGGTCACGCGTAATTCAAAGCCGCCACCAGTACAATTAACACCACAGACAATTTCTCCTTCATTTATGCCGGAGATTGGGTCACAAAAAGCTGGTGTATCTTATCAGCAACCTAATATACCCATCTCTCAATATAGTAACCAAGTGGCTACAGGACTAGACTATTCTAATCAGCTGGTAGCCCCGGCTATACAGTTTCAAGCTCAGAACCAAAGCTCCCTGATGCACTCTACCCCAGATAGACCACTTTCAGCACCGAATGTAAATTTACAGAGCCACTTCCCTCATTCTCCACTACAGCCTCAAGCAACAGGAATGCAGACATCAGCTGGATATCAACCTCCTAACACATCGCACTTTCAAAGCCAAAACAATACTAGAATACAACAAGGATGTGCTGGATTAAACACTCAGCCTACTTTAGGGTCATTATCTATGATGGCAACCCCTCCAAACTACAGCCAACTTCATTCCAGTCCTCAAAGTAACTTCCAATTATATCAAGTGCATGGAAGTATGCAACAGCCTCTCTCCAAACGAGATGGAGTTAGCAGATTTGCGGACCCCAAACAACAATTCTTGTCTGCCTCCCCACAACAAGCTGGATTTCAAAGTCCTTTCCCACACCAGCTCTTGCCACAAACAACTGGTATGAATTCATTTCTCCCGACAACCCTTCAGCATCAAAACTCATCTACTTCTATAGCTATTCAACAGCCAAATGGGTTTATTCCTAGTTTTAGCCCTCATTTAACACCTCAGTTCTCACACAATGCCATAACGCCATTAGTTCCTCAAAAAACTGGACCACCCCCCCCTGTAAGGTTTGGTGTCACGGGAGATTTAAAGAAACTCACACCACAACCTACTGGACGTAGGGCAAATTTATCACAAGCTAGTAAGTCAACATCAGAAGATAATCTCAACATGATTTGCTAAATATGTTATAGCTCCTCAGAACCCTTTTGGGTTCTAAATCTTGTTTGCTTGAAAAGATAACTCATCCAGATCCAGGATTAATCGAATTATATCAATCGAGAATTATTTCACATGAACTTGATGAACTCTTAGTCCCGCAAGGCTCGTTCCGAACCACTTTCACGCATATGAAGAGCAACTCTTGAGATAAAAATCCGCAGAAGTCATTTGATTAAAACAGGTTCCTACAACGGTCATTAATCTAAATAATTTGAAAATGAAAACCGAACCAATAATTCAAAGTATAGGAATACGTTTACATGTCAAACTTCCCGTTGATGGCAACTGGATTAGACAGATATGTACATAGTAGGCTAGTCACCTGTTACAATCCTTTCAAGTCCAGAGATTGGAATTTAGACATCAATAGCTTAAACCAACCACTGGTTAAAAATTGGGCGCTATGGATCATCCTTGTATTTGTTATCGGCCGAAGAACATGTCTACACGTAGAGTGATGTTTGGCATAATGTGACGTTACCGGCCATCCTTGCAAAATTGGAACCAAGATACTTTCTGTTCTGATCGTACGTCTCCCAAAAACCCTCTAGGATGGAATTCGGCCTACGGAGCGACTCTACGTTAATGTACTCACATGGACCGCTTAACTTTGAATAAAAGCTAAGTATGCCTTTAGGCCTAGATTAAGGCGCCCGTCTAAGCCTCTAACCATGGCGTTCGAAATAGTGTCTCGCTTTAAACTGCTTGAAAAAGTGTTGATCAGCGGACAATGCACAAGTAAGAATTTAAAAAAAAAGACTCTAGTATGTTAGCACCAGAAATACCAAGCATTGTTTCATGTTTTCTTCTGAGCCTTTGCCGTTTTTTACACACAGTAGAGTTCTCTAGTAGCATATTAGTCTGACAGCGAGAAAAAAGCAAATGCATTTGCAGAAATCAAAATCATCGAATTCTATGCTAGGGCTCACTGGTCGTCACTAGAAATTCTAATCAGAATTTCATGATCTCTCTTCTAGTAAATTACCTCGCATAACCCGTTCTACTAAATCAACCTTAGATTACAAGTTTCGGCTGTAAATCAATTACTACGCTTTATTCATCGCAGCTGTTGTCGTAGTTCTTGTACAGTTGCTTTGTGCCGGTACTTTCAGACGAAAGATCTAATGGTCTTGATGATAACGATTGGTTAGCAGTCTTGTCTATAGGACTGATACTTTTTAACCTTGGCGTTGGTTCAACTTTTGAAGACCTGCTGAGCACACCAGGAAATATTTTTGGCTCACTTCCACTTATATTCATGGGATGTAAGTTTTCCATGGACCAAGAGTTTACCCTTCCGAGCCCTGAGAGATTTGAAGAAGACCCAGCAGTAGATTTTAGTGCAATTTCTTGTTGCCTGCAAGACTGCAGTATTTGCTGTGTAGAGCCTTGTTGAAGGTGAGAGGACGAATAAGCATTTGGCTTGTAATCTGCCTTTAGAGATGATTGTAGCTGCAAGTTTGATATAGAATTCATGAAAGCATCGCTTGTATTTACTTCAGTATTCATCTGTGCCGATGACATCGACGAATCAAGCTGTGATGAGGTCTCATGTTTGGGGTTTCGATGCACTTTTTTAGGACTTAAATGAGAAGTTTTAGTACGACTCAAATTCGTATACCTTTCAATCCTAATTTTCATGTAAGTCTCCAGATTTACAGGCGGGGGAATTGTTTACATGAATAATTCTTCCATTAGTGTCTTGTGCCTGTACTCTTCCCGAATATCTGGAACATTGCTTTTAGCCATTGTGTTACCCTGGATACCAGGTAGATGGTAGTTTTGGCCTAGCCATCGTTGCTTTATAACATGCTCGAAACCGCTTTGCTTGACAGAATTTTTTGCCAACTCGCACATGTCAACTGCACTGAGTTTATAAATTTGGGCTGCAACAGAGTATTCTTCTATTAAAGGTTCCTTGGTGAAGGCGAATTGTAAAGGATCGTCCGTTGATAAAGAAACATTCAACCCACGTTTAAAATACTGCAAGAAGGGATTTCTCTCATAAGCCAGAAACAAGGCATTGTTACTTAAGGGCGACATAGCAATTCCAATTTGTTCGAGATAGAAAATATACTGTAGGAGGGGAACTTTTCGAAGTAGTACGCCGTGGCTAATGCTATGGCAACAGAGAACTGCTGCTGCAAGATGGTCTGTATCTCCTGCTTCACCACAATGTGGACGTAAAACGAATGTGTTGTAACCTCTTTTCTTTCTAAATATATTCAGTGATGCGATGTTGGCGAACAGAAAGTAAATCCAATAACTATACGGTGGATTCTGTTTCGAATCCCAAATTTTTGGGACTGGAAACTTCTTGTGCAGGCGACGCTCAATTTTGCTCTCATCGTCGACACTATCAAAGCCCGTGACTCTTTGCAAAAAGATGTGCAGCTTTGGATGGCTCGAAGGATCTTTAGTTACCTCAAATAGAGGCCGAAAACAGTTCACAATTATCTCTTCGAAGCTTTTCAATAGTCCACTGGATTTGTAGACGTCAAATAAACGTGGGATCTGAATTAACCATCGAATATTGTGGGAAAAGAGCTTGTTATCAACAACCCATTCGGCAAGCTTGTCCCACTCATCAATCGCACGGCCATAAATTGATATTCGCCATTCGACCATCTGATATTTGCTAGATTCAAGATCTGATATGACTTCTTTTGTTATCTCAGCTAAGTATCGACCTTTGATAAAATTATCGGTTTTAAGAAAGATTGTTCGTAATCGAGATTCTCCAACAGGATTGTACTTCAAATTGAATTTGTCGAATCTGTGAAATGAATCTGTATGGGCCTGTAATTATCAGCCAGAGTATACCTCAAAAGATAATTTATCGTACGTGCATGTCAAGAGTATCAATGCTAAGGTCATAAGCTGTCAAATTAATACTCTGGAACACTTCAGCTAGTGTGAGATGTTTCCCGTCCCTAAACATAACAACCTCATCGGGACATTTTTTCATTTTACTTTTTATGAAGCGAAGCAAATGTTTTTGATTCATACATGCTGAATGATGAACGTGAGTATCAACTTTTCGAACATTGTAAAAGTCTCTATGAGGCACTCTCTTACTGTCAGCTATCTCTTGGTATCCGTTAAGTAGTACATAGAGATTAAACTTTCCGTCTAGATATTGTAATCGACGAAAGGCAAAGCTTTTACTAGGCCCGTCGGAGGATACATTTAGAATGTCTTCCAAATCAATGTAAAATTCTCGGAGAGAAGGAATAACAATTGCAGGATTATCAAGTTCCAGGGCTCTGGAGTCTTCAAAGACTTGATATACGCCACTATCATCGAGTTTATAAGTCATTTCACTCGAACTAGGAACTGGCAGCAATTCATCTAATTTAAAATCCTCTCCAATGTCTTTGCCAGCCTTTCTACCTTTTCGGAAGTTTTGAGATTCTATGATGGATGAAATTCGACGATTTTTTTGCAAGGAATCACAGGTATTCCCATCCTCTTGCTTGGAGATTCCATCGGAAATAGTACTGTTGATAATCGCGCTGATATTTAAGTTGGAGTTAAGCTTGTCCTCATTGCCCTCTTTTCGATCCCTCTCTTCTAGCCATGCAGGTTCTGGTGGTGGTGGGTATATTTCCCAGTCTGAGTGATCTCTCGGATTATCACCATCACGCTGTAAAGATAACTTTATATACTTACGCCTAATATCCAAAACTTTTTGAATCTTAGCATATATCATGCTTAGCTCTGCGGCAAGAATGGGATCATTATCTAGAAAATCACCCTCAACAGTTTGTATCTCAGACTTGTTCCCCTTAGTAAAGAAATTTATTTCTGACGGACTTATTGGTCGGGTGGGAGTAGCGTCTGGACTTGGTTCATAGCGTTGCGCATGCTTGGTTCTAGAACCAGAGGTTGTAGATGGGGAAACATCATGAGAAGCCAGATCCTCTACTTTTTGAAATTCCGGGTTACCATCAACCTCGATTTGTTCCACTGATCTAACCACTTGAGTTGGTAAATTATGTCGACATCTATCGGTTTTCACAAATCGTGTTTCAGATGTGCCCGCGCCTCCGTTGGTCATATTTTCTTGGTACTCTGGCTTCGATCCGACAAAGCTAGTATCTGTGAAATGAGTAGGGATCGGATTGATTATTGTTGGCTCCTGAGCATTTCCCTTCAAGGCCCCTTCAATCTTATGAGACCCGCTTTGACTCCTCAAGTAAAAAAGTTTAGACTCTGTTTGGCTTAACTGCATCTCGGCAGCATAGTCATGGTAGGCTGTCTTATGCTCCCAGTCCCTAGAAAACATAGGGTCTTCATGATTATCTGATACCGATTCAGATTCAAATAAATTAGGAGAACTAATCCAATCTTTGCCGTTTGGAGATTTATCTGAAATATCTTCGACTCGGTCTCTTGTGTGTGGCTCTACTATCTTTTTCGTATCGGCCTGGATGTCTGATAGGCTGGGATTGTGTATAAATGTTTTCTCTTCTTGTTCTGGCTCAAAGATTTTAAGTCAGTTGAAAATTATTCACGAGGGAAATGATTGCATTGAATTACATGCTGTGGATTTCAGTAGTCGTTCACGTACCTCGTGCCATCATGCATAGGTTGGTAGTTAAAGTAGTTGTTGAAGGGCGACAACAATGGATGCCTTGCCAGGATAGAAGGATTCTTGATCCGACTTATCGGTAGCGCACACGCATTGAACGCTGATACAAACTTGCAATTACATCTAGTTTGTCCAGGCTCCTGCATCCGATTGAAAATAAGACTGAAGAATAATTGTTTTCCCCTAATCTAATCCGATGCCAATCGAATCTACCCTACTTTACTGGATCCTGTAGTAGCTCTATTTCTTGATTTCCTGGACCCTTCAAAGCCATACATCCCACCTGCAAAGAAAACAATGCAGGCCCCTACCATTGTCCCTGGGCATAAATTATTTCCAAAAAGCCAAATACTCAACAACAAGCTGAAAAGTTTTCGAACGTTAAGGACAATTGTTACTGTTAGCGCCGACGCAACTGCAGCTAAAAGGTTTACGCCCCGAACACAGGCATACTGAGTCAAAACGTTAGTTACCAAATATGCGAGTTGGCTCGGAATATGAATGCTAGTAAGCCGCGCTTGAATCTCAATAGGGAGTTTATTGATTGAACTATATTTATCGAATCCAAGTGGTGGAGATGCGGCCAGCTTCACAAACTGTCTACTCATCGATGGTATGAACGGTATGAACAGCGGTAGAGCTAATAAGTGAGAATAGAACAAATTTTCTTTCCAGTACGGGCCATACGTCCTGTAGGTCTCTTCGGTGTAAAGGCCCATGACAGCCGATAGTAGTTGAGCAATGAACAATATTCCGAGTCCCATGGTAAATGGGGGGAGACCTGGGTTGGTCTTCACTACAGTCTGCTACTTTTGTTAGGTGAATTCAGGAGATGGAAAATATTTCCTACTTTTGACTGTTGGTCAGACCATGCGGCGATAACGACGCCGGTTGTAAGTAAGGTAACAGCAGCGATTTGGGTTCTGGTAAAACGCTTGCCCCACGCATAACCAGCCACAAGAGTTGTGATGCTTCCACCAGATCGAAGAATGATGTGAATAGGGACTGATATGTTATAACTGAATGCGTGGTTGTTCAACACATTAATGCAAAAAAATAACACAATGTTAATCATCCATCGTCGGATTGGTACATGACCTGGCTTGATAAAAAATGGAGGGTGCGTTCGATCAAACTGTGAGAAATAGCCTGTGATGGCAACAAATATAAATTGCACGAACGTAAGAAGCGTACCTGTGGTGAATGTGAATGGTTTTGCATTGTAAAATAGGAATTACATACCACTTTCTGGCTCTACACTAAATTTAATTAGTCCTACGGTTTGCAACACGGATTCAGTGATACTCACTTCACAATAGCTTCAAGCGCAAAAACCTAAATGAGAATGTGAGCTTCATTCTTTCATGCTTTATTTGATATGAATAGCACTGACATTTGAACAGCAGCCACCAAAAATCAATCCTAACATAGCGCCTATCGTAAGCCATTGAGGAATAGTTTCGATGAATATTCTTCCAACCAGGGCCATAATTCTTGAATATGCAGATCTTGTGTCATTAATTCCATAAATTTCGGCCTTCTCCAATGAAAGTCGAGCATCGATGGTTTTGGGGGTCAGAGGCACGCCATCAGCTGCAGTGTTGAGATCTCGTAGTATTGATCTTTTTCGGTGAGTTGTCATGGAGTTGGGCTGATTGCTACTCATGTCAGCAGTTTGTCCTTCAATTTTTGAATATCTTGATGCTACGGATTAATTTAAACTGCTTTGACTGATCGGTGGTACGAAAAGTTACGTCCACGCGTCTTGACCAGAGCCCAAATTTTTGCCACTCACTTTCCAGGTTCATGGAGATTTGCCGAGATTTTCCGATCCGACGGTTCAAGAAGGTTGTGCAAAATTATTGATTTAGTTCATCAGTTGTTATTTTGTTTCAAGGTTATGCACTACGTTGTTTGGGTATGTCGTTCAAGTAATTTTAATGATTTGAGGCTAAAAGTCTTCGTTATTCCCCTAGTTGTAGCCCCCTAACTGTACTAGTCCCTGTTACTGTCTAAATAGGAAAACGATGTATCAAACGTAAGATCAGTTGGCAAATTTTTGTCAGGGTTTGGTTTACAGGCTTAGAGAAAGAAGTTTAAGTTAGTCTTTGCATTATGATATCTATCAACAACTGTCTACATATGGCCGCTGAGAAGGGGGTCATCGAACTTGTGCATCATTAACCGTACTGCAGTTCGTCTCCTCATGTTTGCAAATAATCCTTGCGGGATTTCCAGCAAAGAGCAGCGTAGACTTACGCTGTACCAGACCAGGGATATTCTCTCGACGCTTAGTTTGCCACATTTTTATTCTTGAATCTTTATTCTTCACAACCATGATACCGTACTCTCTTACTGATAACCTGACCAGAGCAGCGAACAAGTCGATTAATAATTCATGAAGAATTCAAAATTGGCGGACGAGCGAGCGCCCGCTTTACGCTCGAAGTACGTTTTACTCAATATAAGTCTTATAACGCCGAGAAAACAAAAAGCTGATTGTTGTCAGTCAAGATCCATAATAAAGAAACCCAAAATCTTACATTATTTGTGGCAGCGATAGCGATGCTATCTTCAAACGGATGCCAGCTCATGTGTAGTATTTTTTTACTGAAATCAATCTGCTCCGGGTCTGTTTCTTTTTTCATTCTACCACCATTTCCGCCTGCCAAAACATCACCTCTTGTTCCACCCCTTCTGCCGCCATTCATAATCATTGCATTCGAGGTAGGGTTGTTAGTTGTTGGTTTACCAACTTTCTTAGCTTTGAACGCAGATTTATCTGCGTGAAGGACTGTCTCGACTTTTTTCTCTGGATCAGTGGGATAGATCATAAAGTTATTATCGTAACTACCTGTCATAACATTCTTGTCGTCGCCTGAAAAAACAACTTCGAATTTATCAAATATGCTGTCGTTCTCGTAGGTATCGCAGAGTCTTGGCCGAAGATGCTCATGTATTGGTATGGTCTTGATAGGTTGCCTTTCCATATTCACGTCCCAGATTTTGACCGTGAGATAATCTCGAGATAAAATGTATCGACCATCGTGTGAAAAGCGGACATCGGATATAGAAGTAATTATTTCAGAAAAGAATGATCGGGTAGCTGGATCTTCTTCAAAGTCGAATTCTAACTTTGTCAAATCATATCTTACACTTAGATAGCTGAAAAACTTACGCTTAGAGTGCCGGTCACAAAGAGCACTCTCTCTCATATCTGCTAGTTTAACTACACCTTTAGAGCTAGCGAACATAAACCAGTTACAGCTCTGAGGGTGGAATTGAGAAGACGTTATAACTTCTGTTAGCTCTTCCATGTTGGCTGGTTTTATATCAACGATATTGAAGCTCTGATCCTGAATGTTCAAGTTCCACAAATTTATCCTTAGGTCATCGCTACTTATATATGTTTCTCCGTCACTGTTAACTGATATGCTGTTTACATGGTATCCGTGTGCGTTTGCATAGGTTCTTCGGGGTACTGCAGCTACAACCGTATCGTGATACGTAAGACGTGGTAGCTTGAGATCTTGTGGACCAGAAAAATGCACATTATAGAATGAACGAAAAACACTGGCTCCAGGAACACCCCCATACACCAGGTGATGAGATAAATTGTTTTCAGCAACAACCTTGAGAGATTTTTCGAATACCTTCCAGAGCTTGATTGTCTTATCATTCGTTGATAGGAGAAAATGGGATGCATTTTGTCTTTTGCACCATTCAATCCTGTTTATCTTTTCCTCTATCTCAAGTGATTTTAGGTAATCAAACTCGGGCTCGTGGGATTGGAATTCAGTATGAAATCTGTACTCGCATGTTCTTTTCTAACATTAATTAGATAAGGCGCCATTTCTAGTGCTTCAAAATTATGAGGGTGTATCGTAGAGGGAACACACTGATTCATTTTTTTCAAATAACACAACGCGTCCACCTCTATCACCAGTTGCCAAGTAATTTCCGGTATGATCAAACTGAACTGTTGATATTATATCCGCTAGAGCTATCAAATTAGCCTTGTCCACATATTGAGGGTTATTTATTTAAAAGTCAAAGTAAGCAGACTTTCTTCCGGCCGGAGTAGTAAAGACTACAGTAACGGACCTTCAGTTTTTTTTTCCACATCTCCTTTATCGCCAAAACATCTGGGCACTATCAGTACTTTGAGAAGTCTAAAGTGCGAGCAATGACTGTTGCTACAGGTCTTGGAAGGAAACTCAAAGCTCAAATAATTGCTTTGGTAGGCTTATGCAGCAGCAGAGGGCATACTAACTGTGTGAACTTCCATTTCGGACTATACGGCCCCCTATCCACCATTTTTCAAGTTGTTGAATGAGGTGTTTCGGACCGCCTGGATATAATGGTCCTCCTAAGTACTACAGAATAGCCACTCCAGTGGAGGTGGTAGTAATTACGTTCCAGAATTATAAAACGATAGGCTGGTGAGATAGAGGCGGTTCTGCTAGAAACTAAAAAAGGGATATTCCTGGACAGATTGTCGCAGTAGAGTCGTGAAAATCAACCAAGGTAGACTGAGAGCTAGTGAGCTGGCCAGCAACTTCTTTAAACGTAACAAAGAGTCGAGGATGGATCAAAATCTATATGCTCAGAATTAAACTGGCCTAGTTGGCGATGGACAATGTTTCGACGAGTTGGCGGGATCCTGAAGTGAACGAGTCTGTATCCGGGGCTAGCTAGCTCTGCGGACAATCGCGTGGTCCTGGCGTCTTGGCAACTTTGATAGCAGCAAGCGCCTTCCAATCATTTCCTTTAAATAGATGACTAATAAGTTGGGACATTTAGCCGTAGCGACACATGTAATGTTTCATCAATGAACAGCTAGCATATTTCAATCTTTCTAATCCATGAGACTTACTATCTAGCAAGCCTTCATATCTTATCTAACACTGTCCTAATGATGCATAGCAGGTTTCAAAAAGTCACGCAATATTTCAACCAAATTTATGATTAGAATCTAGGAAGATTTTAGAGCATGTGATGTTGGCCGAGGATAGCTACGATATGTTTTTTCATGAGGTTCACTATTTTTTATCTGCTTGTTAGCTTTGCTACCCTGGACCAAGAGCTGAGATAGAGTGTGAGGTAGGTAAATCAACGAATAATTTTCTACGCATGTCGATCGAGATTGGTAAAAAGCTTTGGTCAAAATGGGAAAAAAAATGTAAAATTATGTCACAAATCGCAGTGGATGTCAGAGCCACATACATCACGGCATTAATTCATTAAGGGTAAAGCATACACCTCCTGTGTGCATGCGCACTGCGCACAGGGCACATGTCAGTCAGATATACTCATTGACCATCTGATCGTCATAACCCCGATATGCGAGGTAATCAAGTAGGTACAAGTTATTTAAATGATTTTCTGCTCTAGACGGTGGGTCTTATCATTTACGGAATTTTGATTCGGTTGCCCATATGAAGGAATTATCGGAGACTCTTAAAAGTAACTTACAGTCCCTTACAGTGTTTATCCATATGGTCTACACAAACAAAATCAGTAACTAGTCTGACTCGTTTAATCTGCTAAAACATGTCGCATATTTTAGAGCTAGGTATTAGATGGACTTCTGAGCTATCAGGACCTTGATTAAATTTTTGGCTAGTTTGGTATTAATTGCGCTACCTGAGTCAATGACTATCAAATACACAGGAATCCTCTCTAGCTCACACGATAATTTTAACATTGCTCCTGCCCACTTTTGTTGCGAAACAAGTTGTATGATATATTGACCATGGTAGATAACTCTTTTTAGAACTAAACACAATGTAACTATAGCCAATGTAGCTCTGTTTACTAAGCGGCCCACTCAAAATTTAAGGTTGACGACTCGTTCCTACAAGACAACTATGGAAAGGCAAAGATGAAACACCTGTCAATGATGTCCCCTTCGAATCTACAGCTCTCGCTGTAGAGTCTGCAGAGCCAAGATTGAGTAACAAAGACCTCACCTCGATGAGGATTCCCAATCGGTTTCGCTGTCTGTATCATCTTCATCCCTAAGCACATTCCCCTATCACCATTATCATGAAGCTAACCACCATCAGATCAGACGGTAGGGTCGGAGTCCTACTCATCACCAATCCTTGATCATGGAGCAAAAGCCATCCTATGAGTTTCCGGAGCGTACCCAGCACCCAATACGGAGATGGCGGATTGGATCAAGTCGACCTCAACTGTTACAAAGAAGGGAGATATAGATGAATATGCACACCTCATTTGGACCCGGTGTCTAGGCCTTGCCCGGCTGGGGCTGCAGGTCTTTTGAGACCTTTTCCCGCACACGCAGTTTCCACTGATACCATTTTTTGGGTAGAAGGTTCCGTGGAAAAGGTGGCCGAACTCCACGCGTAAATACTGAGCAGAAGGGTTATTCATCACGGGCAACATAACAATGATCTTTCAGGTTACAAAAAAGGATGGGAGTACTTTTCGAGGTGTCGCCTGGGTCAGAGGGGAGCCCAATGTATTAGATAGTCATAGGCTTAAGTAACGCAACACACACATACTAAACAATAGTCTGCGGTGTCTTCTACGAGCCTAGGAGTGAAATATTCATCTATTACTAAGCTCAGCAAAATTCCACAGTATCGTTAAAGTTGGCCTACGAGGTAATGATTGAGGACTTTCCACGAAATCATCCTGTCACTTCTAACGAGATCGATTATCAAAAAAGCATCATCAGGTCCATACGTAAGATTGAGTGTATCCTTATTTCAATAATTATACCTCCCGTGAAATCAGTTTCTGGCCTTAAGTAGCCTCCAAAATGCCCCCGCGACTATATCTATACCCCCCGGAGGAAATGAATCTTGGCGCACAGATCTGGCTCGTAGATTTTTGGATCATTCGTGAGTGATGGTAGGACATGTAAGTATGGTCATGCAGATGGTGGATTCAATCTTGGGAAGAGCTAGGCTTCGATGTCGGGATAGATGTTTTACTGTTTTAATTACTACGGGGTGGCTTCACCATTTATCGAAATGTTTCTGTAAAGAGTGGTTCGATTCTGTGTTGTTCTAATATTTTTTAAAATACTGCCTCACGTTCATTTTTTTAATCATTTAATGTGTGTGCAGCTTTTTTTTTTTTGCATCAGATTTTAATTGCGTATGCAGCTATCTAGCTATGACAAAATATCAAAGAAAAGTATAGAATGGATGATTCAACGTAAAGAAAGAGCACTCATGCCTCAGATTTCATTTGCAAGTACCACTCCGAAGTTATGGTGGCTTTTTCTTCACCCCAAGTCAACCCTCATCCGTGAATACCCACCCAGAGGAACGTCTCAAAAACCCTGAGTTATCCAGACATGCCTCCGTCATCCATCAACTTTTCTCCGCGCAATATGTGATCTGAGGTGTCTCCTTCCCAAGTGGAGTAGGTGCACAGGCTACTCAAACTATACCAGAGAAAACCGCCAGGAGGCGGAACACAACACCTTCCATCGTTTGCTTGTGTTTATAGTGTCAGCTGCACTCTCGCAAGCGAAGTTTTGGCGCGCACAAAGCCCAATTCGAAAAACTCCTTGCCAAAATTCGGAATCTCATGCCCTTCGAAGTTATATCCTTCCTCCGCATCATCTTGTCAACTTGTCCTTATTCCTCTGACGTCCATTCCAAAGAACTGTATCCCAGATTTGTGCGCCACGCTTTGCTTCCTCCGTCGGGTGTAAATATCTGCGTGGGCGTGTATTTGGTGGCCAACTGAGGCCAGAGAAGGTCGAAGAGTGGTATGGTCATTGGGATGAGGATGAGGATGTACTTGGTCGTACTTGTAGACTTGATGAGACTTAGGTAGAAGTCAAACTCGTTAGGTGCGAAAAAACGACGTGGAGGAGTAATATGAATTTTTGCCTAGTGGGTCAACTTCTTTGATATTGCGAAATTTGACTGAATTTGGCTTTGGGAGAATATTTCACTCCCAGGTTCGTAGAGGACACCGTATACAGATGTTCAGTCTTGCCCTCCTGTGTGTGCAGCTATATAGCTATGACCGGTGCCATGAATACACATTGGATGATTCTTTTGACGTTAGAGACACTCATACTCTGGATTTCATTCGCAAGTACCACTACAAGGTATGTTTGCGTACACAAAAAGTCAACCCTCCTCCGTAAGTACCCACCAAAGGGAATTTCAAAGCCTTCGATTGTCCATGAATGCCATCGTCATTCGTGCATACCAGCGCTGCGAGAAATGTGGTTGTGCTCTGCCGGAATGAAACCAGCGATCTACTGTTTCGAGTAGGATATATGGCCTAGATGTCCAGACTCTACTAGGCAGACCAGTCAAGACAATGTACCACTGCAACACCTAGTCGTGGCGGTGTTTAAAGTGTCGCCTCCACTCGAAGACTTGACACGCACGAAGCTCAATTCACAAGACCTCATTCCAAAGTTCTTTATTTCACGCCCGTAGAGAATGTATACATCCTCTACATCGTCTTGTGTACCTGTCCTGATTCCTCTCACGTCCATCCTAGAGAACTGTCTCCCAGATTTGTGCGCCACGCTTTGGTTCCTCCTGCGGATATAAATATAGGCGTGGGCATCTATTTGGTGGTCAGCTGAGGCCAGAGAAGGTCGACGAAGGGGGTGGCCATTGGATGGAGGATTTAAAATGTCATACCTGTACACTTGATGAGACTTAGGTAGGAGTCGAACTCGTTGAGAGTGAAGAATTGACGTGGCGGAGTACTTTGAATTATTGCGTCGTGGGCCAACTTCTTTGGAATTGCAACATTTGACTCAACTTGGCTTAGTGAAAAAAAATTCACTCCCAGCTTCTCTTTATTTTATTTTTATCAGTTTTAAATTGCATATGCAGTTATCTAGATATGACACAATATCAGAGAAGTGTATACTTGATGACTCAATTTACAAGAAGAGCACTCATGCCTCGGATTTCATTTGTAAGTATCACTGCAAAGTTATGGTGGCTTTTTCTTCACCCTGTCACGGTTTCAGTTCAAAATGCATGAGCAATCTCGTAAGTACAGTATGTTTATTATAACTCTTTAGAGAGAAAATTCCTGTAGCTAGACTTCAAATTTATATACACTCTTAGATACTCCTCTTATATAAGGTTCTCTCTATGTCTAGAATAACATGGACTCCTCGACAATACCCTAGAAGATTCTTGATACACCTGTTGTCCTCATGAGCCTTCAGTATGCTTCCAGAAGGTTCATTGAGAATCTTCTAAGCTCCTTGTATTCCGAGATCCTTCACAAAGATTCCCTTGCTTTCATTGCCTGCGCTAGCCAGCGTAGGCTACAGGAATCCTTAAGCTTAA